GTTCAACAGCAACCCTTCATTTTGGGGACTGGGGCTCCGGCCCCGCAACTCGAAACCCTAAACCCTAAACCCTAAACCCCCAAACCCCAAAACCCTAAACCCCCAAACCCCTAAACCCCTAAACCCCTAAACCTGAGTAAAGGTTTGGAGGCTTGGGGTATACGAGGCCATGGTCCGGCTCCAGCGTCTAGGCACACCCAATACACACCCGTATGTACATACTCGCAAATATAGAAGAATATGGGTAGTTCTCTAAATTNNGGGTCCCTTTTTGGGTACCCAATATAGTACGGCACCCTTATAAAAAGGACCCCAAACAGGGACCCTAATTTAGAGAACTACCCATATGTAGACGTATAGGGTTTACAAGGTTTGGGGTTCAGGGTATATGATATAGGCATAAGGTTCGAGTTGGCCATGATGTGTCGCAATCAAGGCTTAGGAAATGGGCTTTAGGACGAAATCGCTCGAAGCTTCCGCCTTGGGGCCATATGTATAATAGGGATTTAGGGTTTTAGGTTTAGGGGTTAGGGTTGTAAGTACTGTACTTGCCCTTGATGACCCCTTATATGGGCAACCGGACTTCTACCGGAATCATGTGGGTAGTTCTTCAAGTTCGGGTCCTGTTTAGGGCCCCCAAAATAACACGGCACCCTTACAAAAGGCACCCTGACAGGGACCCTAGTTTGGAGAACTACCCTAAACACTAAACCCTAAACCCCTGAACCCCTAAACCCCTAACAAACCCTAAACCGTGCATACTAATGCCGCCAGGAGCAGGGAGAGAGTGCAGGCGCTGGAAGGAACCGTGGACAAGGATGGCTTGCTGCTTGCAACCTGCCAGTTCTCTTGTTAGGGTTTAGGGGCTTAGGGGCTTAGGGTTTAGGGGCTTCGGGGTTTAGGGTTTAGGGTTTAGGGTGGGTTTAGGGTTTAGGGTTTAGGGCCCAGAGAGCCCAATTTACCCCTTAAATAAGGAACATACCTTAAATTCTAGGGGCCTTCATATT